ATGCCCTGCTGCTGTGGCTCACAGCCAGGACGCCAGCGGCCAAGCATGCAGGTCATACTGTGAGCGCCAGTGTGCTGTACATCCCTGAATCAGCAATCCAGCAGCCAGCCAATAGCACAACACCTGTGTGCCCTGAAGTGTCCAACCCTCGCCTAGATCATGCCAAGAAACAGTTAAGGTTTGTTTGCTCCTTAAAGGAGACAAAAGCATTATTAACTTAACTGCAGTTTACACTTTAAGCACTGGTGAAATAGTTTTAAGTGATTCTCAAGTGAAATGGCTGGGAACAGTCAAAGAATGGTTGCAGTTATATTATTCTCTGTTTGTTAATTTCAGGCGAGGGAAATAGAACAAGAGAATGTGTAAAGATGAGTAGGTGGCAGAAAAGGCAGGAGGAGCAAAGAAATGGATGCTGAACTCACCAAGAATCAGTTAGAAGAACTATGTGTACGGTGAGGTCTGTAGGTAGCTGATCAGAAAAAATCGGAGCTAGGGGTCATGCTACACTCAGATGCCATGAGGTAGGATGGGCACCTGCTTCCAACCGGGGGCTAGAAAGAAATTATACGGCACTTAGTGTTAGAAGAGCCCTAGAAAATTGAAAGGAGAGGTGTTAGATTTCCTCTTCTCTTAAAGGATAGGGGCCCACATTATTCCCTCCAAAGACAAAACCCACAGGAGGGATCTTAGAAGTAAGAAATCTCAGTGAGTATCCCCTCATTGAGATCCTCACACATGTTCAGGCAGGTGGGTACAGGAGGTTGCCCCACTGTGTTGCTGATGTTTAGGCTTGCCCCCTAACAATCAGCAGGAGACACCATCGTAGGCCGCCCAGTAGACACCGCTCCAAGCCTGCCCAGTCTACCATATAGGCCTCCTCCACCTCCCTCAATGTAAACCCTGGACAGCACAGAAAAGTTGCTACAAGGCCCAGAGGGGGAAACCAGTGCCACATAAGCAGGTGAACTCTCTCTTCCTTGTAAAAAGGAAGAAATCTATGTGTGGAGGGTCTCCTCTGTGCACGGTGCTGGGGGGTGGGGGAAACAATCTGGCAGAGGGGTACATTCTACCTTTAGTGACACTGACCTAACACCAGTATACCAAAGTACAGAATTGGGTCCACTGTGTTTACTTGGCCTACTTGTCCAAGGGATTTAAACTGAATACAGTTTAGTATTGCCTAATATATGGTACTCCTGTTGGAACATTTTAGGTCTAAATATGAGCAGATCAGATATAAACAAGGTACTGCACATATAATTTTGTCCCTTAAGTCTTAACACGCTTCCAAATGTCCCACAAAGCATTAAGATAATGCAAATGGACACAAGCTCCAAGCCAGGCTTCTGAATAGAAAATCTACGTCCAGCAAGTTCGATTAAGCCAGCTAATTTTCAGTCAAACAAGCTAATTTCCAGATAGATTCTTCTGATGTTTTCCCTCTGTTTGTAATTTGCATCATTAAATAGCTTGGTGTTTCAAATCACCCACAGTAGTGAGGTCACAAGGTTTTATGTTAAATAGCAACAACCTCAGCTTTTTAAAGAAGAAACAGAGCAGCTGATCTGCTGGTGCATAATTTTCTTTTTTCTTTGGGGTGAGAGAAAGAGGGATGGGAGCTTCTTATGGATCACAGACATTTTACTTTGGAAGGGAGAGCAGCTCTATAGGTCTTTGTGCTCTAGAAAGTAATACAGGATCACAGATGTACTTGATTATCAAGAAATCTTTTTTTAATGGTTTCTCCTTCCCTCCCCTCAAACAGCAGGTCATCTTTCTGACATGAATATATCATTTTAAGCGGTACAAAATTCAAATTTAAAAGGAAAAATTAAAATACCAGAAAAAAAACATGTATTGAATTTGAAGATAAAAATTGGTTAACAACATTCAATATTCTAGAAAGTGATGCTGTTCCAACTACTTGGTATATACAGTGATGGGAAACAGATGTTTCACAATTATTTCTGCCTGCACTATGTTTCCACATCTGATCAACAACATGCCATATACAGAGCATGAATCAAGGACACCTTGGTTCAGTCTTCCTCCCCAGTAAAATAGCATTTTTTCTGTCTTTTTTTAATGGTCACACACTGTAAATTGATGGAATACAGTTATCCTGAAGCAATTTTCCTGATTCAGGAGGCTGCTTGGTCACTGGGATTGGAAAAGACTGAATCTTACAGCTTCACACTGTTTTCACTGATGTTGAAGACACATATCAGTAAATATTCTAAAATAAAATTATCGCACCCAAACATTCCAGATCCTGTTTAACTAAGGGCTCCAGCATGCACAATCTGGTGCTAGGTTCTATTGTTGTCTTTTGTGCTACTAACATTTCTTCTTTTCCTACTGTAACATAATTTATGTATGTGTGTATATGTGTCACACATGCACACATTCATACATAAACGTGGGATATGTTCAGCAAGAAACTGTCAAATATCATGAAGCGCTTCCCTGAAAATTGAGGTATTTTGTGCATTTATATAATGCGTGTGTATGTTTATGTATGAATACATGCCTGTGCATATGAGGTATATACTCACATACACAGAGGTAAGACTATGATAACTGTAGAGGATTGTGGTGAATAATCTGAGTGAGATTCGAATAGGCTGATTTACTCAGAATTATCTCACATTTGAAAAGTCGATAGGTAGAGAAATGGCAAGATGTTCCTGAAGAGCGGGAAGCCTTGCTTAACTAAACACACTGAAGGGATATAGATGTTCTGACCTATCTACATGAAGTAAAGATAAATGAAATATAAAGCTTCATTTTGCAGGAAATATCATTCTAATTGCAATCCCATCACTGGTATTTATTTGGGCAACATTATAGTTTATGATGCATTGTACTCTTTCTTTTCTTGCAAGTTATCTGTTATTTTATTCATTACAATTAAGAGACGAGTGTTGAAAATTTGTTCTAGTTTAATTCATTATACATTTTCCCTTAAAAAGCCATCCTGTGATGTAGCAGAAGATAAGAGACTGTGCCTTTTCATTCAATATTTATTAAGCATAATAAAAAAGTCTGTTTTGTAGAAAACAAATTACATGTTGCCTGTCACAGGAGAGCGTCATACCAGGGAGATCTGGTGCACAGAATACTGACTGAACCCAATGATTTTGAAGTAGGCTGTGTACACAAACATTTTGGTGTAAGGGTCCTTTACTATTAGTACGTGTGGAGACCAAGATGAACTTGCCATACATAGATCTACAAGACTGTTGAGAAAAGAAGAACAGGAATCTATTATCTGCTCTTCCCTATTTAGATACTGCAAAAGAATATGAAAGTAGTTCAACAAGGCAAATGATCCAAGAACAGTTCTTTCAAGTGTATTCTGGTGTGTGCAAACATGACATATTTAATTAGTATTATGTTCTATCTTTTGTAAGAAACCCAAGATTTGAGATAGTATAATTACCTTTTAACAATGTACAGCTGCTAAACTTCTCAGGTAAACAGTACCCAACAATGATTTTTTTGAGCACATCACAAATAACCACTTTCCTAGTAGGACTTTTATAAATGTCAGGACACAGAAGAGTAAAACTACTGTAGGAAGGGAAACACTTTGAGTTCTTATAGATAAAGCAAGGCCTCAGAACCTCACACCTATGCAGTAATCAAAGGTGATTTAAGGCAGAACAAACAAGCAAAAAAGCCCCATTAAATAGATCATGAATTTGCTTGTGGGTCTGTAACAGATGTGTTATTAAGGATGCTTTGTTTACCCAGTTGCCAGTCTGTTGAAGAGAATCTTCCGTGTGATGCTGCTTATCGCGCTTTTAATTCTGCCTGAGCGAAATTGTTAGCCTTGAAAAAGCAATTTTTTTGGCCCCACTCTATCTGGCTGCACAGAATTTTCAAAGCACCACTATGTTGTAAAAAATGCCCTTTTAATCAGATTACCCTTGGCGAACGTCCCAAACTCAGGCTGAAGTGCAGTGCTTGTGGTTTCTCAACAGCTTACACTAAGCCTGCACCATGGAAATAATCTACTTTTAAAACCCAGGAAACAAATCGACTGCACTAAGGACATAAGTCGCTGTCATTAGGGAGTGATTAGGCTAAACATTTTTATACACTCTGGTAGCCCAGTTTCATATTGTGCATCTCTGTGCTGATAGAAAGAATGGCACCTCAGATAATTGTTTGACTCACCCACACCAAAAAGACCTGATGTTATACAAATTCAAATTAATTTCCCTCTAATAATTGCAGAAAGCAATATATACAGAGCATGATTTTCTTTTAATAAGTCGGAAAATATAGTAAAATCAGCTTTACATTCAGTCCTTGAACTGGAGATTGTGAGTTTGATTAAAGGCTATACACTACAATATTTTTTGACGTACATTAGCTTCTCCTAAAAATCCTGTCACCTCCTGTTAAGTTACTGCTACTTGTTTTATTCAAACATTCTTCCTTTAATACATAATTTATATAGGAAATTCTGTGTGTGTTTTTGAAGAGGCAGCTACCATTTTTCCAATTTACCATTATAACTCCATGTCTTCAGCTTCTGTGATACTGTATTTTTCATAGTGGGAAAATACAACATCACGATGTTTGAACAGAAAGTATTCTGCTCCCCGCCCCAATTTTCCTTTTACGAAACAGAAAGAAAAAAGAATTTGGATCTGACTCTGTCTAATCAAATTATCTGGTGTCTGAGTCAACCTTGCTATTTTTGTACACACAGAGCCCAAAGAAGAAAGGATCTCGATGTCAGGTCCTGGTGATTGAAGAGCAGAAGGATTCTTTTTTTCAAACTGGAGGTTGAGCTAAGATCTGATAAAGAGAGGATATTCAGCTGGTCCAAAGCATAAGCCTGGTCCACTCTTGATCCCTACTTTGGCCATTCTGTTGATAGTTTCATTTCTAATTTATGAAACATTTCATTAATCCTCAATCTGTCAGCCCCTTCTTGACAATAATGCAGCCTGACATTTGAAGGATTAATATTTATTAAACATCCTATCCTTCAGAAGTCAAAGAAATGCTCAATTCATTTCCGCAGCGAAATCTTCCAACTCTTCGCTAGCTGCAAACACCTCGCCACACCCTCAAAAAAGCAAACAAACAAAAAATCAGAAGGCTGCAAAACTAAATGAAACATGCATGAGAAATTTTTTTTTTTTAAAAAAGAGGAGTTACATGGAATACTCCTTCAAAAGACTGTTCTGTGTACATTTAAGGTATTCCTCTTTCCAAGCATATGTTCTTGCACTCGTCCTTCCACTATGCACCCCCCCACTTTCCCACTTCATAAATAATTCATAGCCTGATAAATATGCAATTTCAAAAAGTGCAGACATGGAAGCACTGCATTAAAAAAAAAAAGCTTATGCTTTTCACACAGAAGACCTGAACTGCACTGAACGGATGACCAATTTTCCAGTATTCAGAAGCTGTATTATATATTTATATGTGTGTGATAGGAGTGAGACTGTGTTTCTGGTCTGATTCCTTGCTTTGCTAGACATGTTGTAAATTGTCTGTGGAAAACTGTAACACAAAACACATTTTTTAAAAACATGAAGTTAGCAATGTTTAAAGTTTATTATAGAAAGTAGCGATTAAATGCTTTCAGAAAAGCAATGCAGTCATTTGCTCTCTTGTTTATCGTGTGCCGATATCGCAGGTATGGCATGTACTGTACGTAATTCTCTAGTGCTAACCCCATAAAGGTCTCAATCTTCTAAGTTTTCCCTTAAGCAATAATCATTTATTCGACATCATGGGAAGATTCTTTGGAGGTCCATTTAACAAGATCAACAGCAAACTGGTCTGTCTGTTGTTTCCCTACAGGTAAAGATCTCCCAAAGTAACATGCAGTATAAAAAGCAAAGCAGAGTACCTCCATTTTGTGAACTAATTGCTTGATTACCAGACTGAAACAAAATGGAGGAAAGACTTTTTTGCAAAAGCAGCTCCTTGCTGACATGACAGAAGAGAAAAAGCATTAGAAGAAAAATGGTGCTTATAGAACATCAGTTACAAAATCACAAATATAATATGTAATATGAAAAATATAGATAATTCATACATATTCCTAGATGCCAGGATTCTGTACAGATGGTATTTTAGTTTAACAACAGTTAAAACACAAAAATGATTTCAATTCACGAAGTGTAACCTTTTGGATGAACACTTAAATTGGAAACACCATGGGTAAGAAATAGACCTCAGCATTTAATTTGGACTGGCTAGTTGGAAGCCTATATTTACTGTACAATAATTTCAGATTTAATTAAATCACTCTGCTGCTGCCAGTCACACCAACACCATAAAGATGATTAATTGCGTGATTAAATGAAATATAAACTGCCTTCAAAGTAACATCAATGCACAGCTCTGCAAACAGACACCATGTGATAGATTTAAGTGCAAGAGCCTACCTGTGTCTCTTAGAAGCATACCATAGTTAGAAAGTGGGCCCTGTGTAAGAAAGTAATCATTGTACCAAAAATAGAAGCTTTTACAAGGCATTGTTTTTCAAGACAAATCTGAATCCTTCCCCTCCCACTGACATGATTTGTTATCTTACAGAAGAGTTTTCACACAATTTGCATTGTCATCTTGTGAATTGGCTACCAGTATACAAACAAGAGCTGACACACCATAATAGCAAGACTGTGCTGTCACAACAAGGCAGCTGGACAGTTATATATTCCACTTTGCTTGCATTGTATTTTGATTCACAGCAACAGCAGGACAAAGGGCCTGACAGAGCTAACCATGGATTGTCACCTTGATTTGTCCAGTCTAGCAGATATGCAGAAATGAATTATATTCTCCTGCTTATGAACACAACACAGAAGCAAATAAGCTTGCAAACAGCATTTTCCAAACTATAGTATCTGAGAAACATCCAGCATCTTCAGAGATGCTGCATATCTCCATAGGGGAAAAAAAGCAGAAAGAACTAGCAGATTAGTGAAGACACTTGAAAGCTGCCTCTTCTATAATGCAGGATATTGTAGATATTAGAAACAAATTCTTTTACTGAGTGCTATATAATTTGTTCTGTGCTCTGCTTTTATATTTGTTTAATGCTTTGACAATGCTTCGCTATTGAAGTTTCTATCACTAATGTAAGTTCTTTGGGGCAGGGACACTTTTTATACTATTTTTTATAAAGGCTAGCCTATTTATGGTGCTATATGCTGAATAGTAATAATGTTGAAAAGAAATGTGCTTATATGTATGTGGAATCCAATAGCTATATTGAATTAAAATTTTATCTTCTAAAAGATAAAAATCAATTACTTCAAATCAATTTCTACTATTCTATAGTTCCAAACTAAATATAAAGAATGCCCTGTTTTATATTTACTGTCTGGAAGGGTTGTAAGTGTAAAGCTCCAAACTATGAGGAAATTCACTGCAAGGTAAACACAACAATGTTTGGAATTACTAATTTTTGACAACTTTTTTTTTAAATGTAACGTGCAGCATTTTAATAGACACAAATGTGTACCTGAAAAAAAAAACACCAGAAATTTTCAAAAATTATAAAGAGCCAATTGTCTTCTGCCATCTTTCTTAGAGAATAAGAAATCTGGCTCCCTCTGCTTATCAGGAAAGTAAATTCTTGCAGTGAGCGATGTACATTCTTGTATTAAAAATTATTCCGGTAAGCAAAGGAAATTTTAAAAATACTTAATTTTTTTATACAAGACAACAAGCAGAGGAGTCTTCATTGTGGTTTTCTACTATCACATTTTTTATTATTAACTTTATGAAAGACATAATCAAACTCTCATTTTGCTTAAGCTACACGCCTCACCAGAATGTTCAAAATACTTGTCTCTGAAGAAAAGCCTTTCAGAAATTCATCATTTATACATCTTTTTTATTTATGAGATAAGGCTTATCAGAAGATGTACTGTTACATATCACAATAATGTGTTCATTTTTGAGCGTGCAGTATCTTAAGCAACCATGGAAAACTAAATAGATGTAATATTTGTACGGTCTTTATTAGTTCTGAATCGTAAACTGGGTATTTTTGCAGTTGTATATACATTTTGTTCTACTGTTCACTGCGTGTTGATTTTTTAATAGTGAACATACACCAAAATATTACATGACATCATAATGTTTCTAAGCATAGCTGAAGCTATATTACATATTATAGAAGGAAAAAGTAAATAAAATCTTACCCAGATACAGAAATGCTAATGTGCATCCATCAAAGAGCTATACATTCATAGTAAAGGTTTCAGCACAAATAAAGCCTTTATTTTAATGTACATGTAAAAAAAAAAAAAGTAAAAGTAAATTAAATTAAATTAAAATAAAAAAATCTTATGATTTCTTTACCAAAATTGTTTAGGAAAACCTAAAAGCACCAACAGAACCATTTATTGTCCAAGGAGAAAATTGTATAGATTTGTCTTTCCTCGGAATTCTATGCAGCCAACCGTAATAGCTCTTTGACAGTTCACCTGACTGCAGCAGAAATGGGAATGTGATGGTTACAGTGGATGACAGAAAGGGGCCATTTGAAGTGCTATTATGCAGTTTACATGAGAAAATTTCAGCAGATTTCAGCTTTATCTATTTATGCCATGAACATTTTTTTGTTTTGTTTTTTCTAGTTGTTCATGGCTTACAATAATGAAAGTTGCATTCACTTTTGGTGTTGCCATATAGGATTGCACACCTTAAGATGTAAAATTTATTAAAGATTTATGAATTGGCTTTGGTGATTCACTATGGTTTAATAGTAAAACAAAAATGCATACATCAGTTCTCTCTTGCCCATGAACTATATTTTAAATGACTGTTATGTTTGTTTTCCTCCATCTGGTTTGTCTTGTAATTTCAGGTCTAATATAAACCAGATATTATATTTTAATACTTAAACGAATGAAGGAACATACACTTTTTCAGTTAGGCTGACCAGACAGCAAGTGTGAAAAATCAGGACAGGGGGTGGGGGGTAATAGGAGCCTATAAGAAAAAGCCCCAAATATCGGGACTGTCCCTATAAAATCGGGACATCTGGTCACACTATTTTCAGTGTCTGTAGAACAGACTCTACTGTAGAACGCTAAACATTGAAAATGATTTCCTCAAAGCATCTCTTTAAATAATTGAATTAAATCTTTAAATGCTTTGATGTAAGGACCCAATCCTGCAATCTCTTATTCACCTAACTGGTCCCATTGAAGCCAATGGGACTACTCCTGTGAGTTAAGACTGCTCATGCAAACATGGGTTTGTAGGATTGGCTCCTCAATTCTTAAAAATGTAAAGGTTCCCATCACAGCTTTTGAGGTGTCTTTCCCCTGCAGCTTTGATATGTTGTACAGATGTTGATCTTAAAGGTAGAAAGAACATGTTAACTCTATTACAGCAACAGCTAAAAATACTAGTTCTTTTTTATAGAATGAAAAAGCAAAACCAGAACCCAAGCGGATGTTAATAGAGTGGTAGTTTTTCACCAAGATATTCTACGTAACAAAATAACCCTGGAATGATCAGGACAAAAAGAATAGTGGTAAGGTAACTTACATTGTATTTACAAGTGATTTATAGATTTTACAAAATAAAGAAACTAAGCAACTGTACCCTTTGACATATTGTTAAGCAGATCGTCTATGATACTAGTTTCCATGCAGGGTCAAGAGTGTTGACATGGGTTTAATCAGCTACTCCTCCTAAACCATGAATCAGAACAATTGTTGTCAGTTTCAAATAGTACAATTGCCTGAAAATAGCAAAATATATAAAGTAAGAACACACATCAAGAATACTAAAAGTTACAAGTATTAATTGTAACACTGATTTAATTGCAAGCATTTTCTGCTTTTTGAGGCACTGAACTGGTACCAAGAGCACGACATCCGTCAATTTTTTCTCACTTTTTGGTGACATAATTACACTTGCTAAATATATTGCTCTGCCAGAATGTGTATTTTATTTTAATGCAAAACTTTTGCATTTCTTCCTCTCTATCTGTCTTTTCATATGTACGTTTTTTATCAAAATTATACACTATATATATTTTATATGCCATGTATACATACATGTATTGTGCTACCTATGTTGTTGTTAGCTTCTTTGTCGGTGTACTTGGTAGGACTGGAGAATATTGGGTGCAAAGTGTCTTCATGAAGGGGAAGTGAAATCACTCACCATTAGAGATAAGTATGACAAGCTCCTTTTTACACTAGGATACACTTGTATTAAACAGAATGGCAGGGTGCCTGAGTGAGATTGCATCTATTACCAATGATGGCATGAAAATGGACACTTATTAATCACATGTTTTGAAAATAATTATCCATAGCTTTATAAATGCTATTTGGAGTAAATCTAAGTCAAGATTTTTTTCTAAGTACATTTGCATTTGAAAGATTGTTTTCTCATTAAGTAGTTTTAGGAGTTTATATTTTCTGTAAAGCAAGTATTAAGTATGTGTAACAAATCTATCGTTTCCAAATGATTATAAAGTTAACATGACACCAATATTGCATGGCTAGTTTAAAAAGAAACAGGTCATAGTCATTATTCCAAAACAAAAACTTAGGCCATGTAATATTCTATGGATGTATTTTGATTAACAGTAGGATATAAAATATAAAAATGTCCATTTATAACTAAGAAATAAATAATTAATGTTTTTGTACACAGAGTATTTAAAAGGACATTTAAAGCAAATATGATGATCTGAAGGCTCTTTTGGGATTTTTGTGAGTAAAAATGATTTTTGTGGATAAATAATTTTCTGTGTATTTGCTTTATCTTCTGTACAATTCACAACAGAGATTAAGCAAATGTAATCTTTGCAATCAAACCAAATATAGTAGTATGAAAAAATGTATTGTAAAAAAGCCTTAGAACATTTTAAGGTATCATAGTCGAGTTTCTAATATGCATAAAATGTATCCATTAAAACCATATTTTTCATCTGACCAAATTATATATACACATTAATTTTCTCTATATATGTACAGTACAATCATTTGTAAAAAATATTACTGTAAGAAATAATTATAGTAAAACTCCATTATCTGCACTAAATATGTGCACACAATGCTTTTGTTATGACCATATTTTATTTAAATTGAAACTTTAAATTTCTTAAAATAGTAGTTAAAAATAAAGTGATCAATAATTTAGTATTTACAAGTAAAAAACTATGTTGCACTTTGACAAAAATCTATCTGCACTCTATTTTGATAGAAATGATTCAAAGGATGTTTGCAATATTCCAAAGCCTTCTTGGAAAGAAACTGAGCTATGCTGCATGATTTAAAATATTGAATATTTTGGTTAGTCAGCATCTTGAAGCTTGTCACTTCTGGATATTTGGAAGGTTTGCATTTTGCTTTATAAGAATATTTTGAACTGTTACTGCTGTAGTAATCGTCATCATCTGCTTCAAAGTATAAAAATACTATTTATGATTGCCGGTGCATGATAGTGTGATGACTTTAATATGTTGTATTTTGTTAAAAGAACAAATTTGTAGAAGGAAAAAAATGACACAGGAAATAAATAAATAAATAAATGAGCAAATAAATAAAAAATGGTCTGGCTTTGGAAAATATTTGTAAACAAGACATATCTAGTTTTTAAATATAATTTTTTTAAAAAAATTAATGACTTTTATAATCAATGGAAAACTTGAATATTTAAATAATTGTTTCTTCAGTCTTATCATAAATAATGGCTACCAGAACTTATAGTAAATGTTTTGACAATGATTTACAAGTCTAATAAAATTATTGTAATTGTTTCATTCTTGAAAAACATCTACATATTTTATAAATTTGATCCAAAACAACATAGAGGTCTTTTTAAAAAAATATTTGGAGGATTTTATTTTCATTTGATAACAAAAAACCGAAAACCAAAAACAAAGCTCCCCTAGAAATCTTTTCTATAAATACAGACAATAACAAAATGTGTTTGTTAAAGAGTTTTTCAGAACTTCTTTTCTAATATTAATTCGATGTCATTATCAAGACATCAAATTAATCTGGGTGTTTACAGTACATGTTATTAAGAATTAAACCCTACATTTATTTGCATAGGTAAAGGATCGACTGTAGCATAGTTTGGTAATTTGAGGACTATAAATAAAGCACTCTATATAAAGAGGGGTCTATGTCCCTTTTTGTAGTCTACTTATAAATTCAAAATGCAAAACACGGTTATATATGTAGTTACCCGGGAATACAGATGATCTAAAATACAGAAAAGACTGAAATACCTGCAACTCATCTTTTAAACCCGTGGAGCTGACCAAAAATAATTGCAGGTTGAATGTTTGGTACTGTACCACCATATTTATTACAATGTTTTTAAAAAACCCTTTTTTTCTGAAATGAGTGAAGAATATGTTTGAGGCATGGCAATGGTTAATCTTATAGAAAGGCAACTTATACATTTATGTACCTCTTTAAAATTCTCACCTGAAATACTTGTACATGGCAGTCTTTGGCAAAGGGATGCACCATCCCATGGACTACTGTATTAACTTGTCTCCTGTTATTTTATTTGAGGGAGATAAACACTTTCTCTCCTTATATATGATTAAAGCTACATTTAGTAAAATATACCTGCATTAGATAGGCCCTGATTCAGCAAAGTTCACTAAGCACATACTTTATTTTAAGCACATGCTTATGTCATCCCTATTCAGGAAAGCACTTAATTATGTGTTGAACTGCTTTGCTGACCCTCATACTGCATGATACACAAATGCGCCATGTGATACACTAAACATTCACTCATTTCTCTCCCTCTTAATGCCCCACTTTTTCTTATGCTTTAAAGCAACATTTACTTACTGTACATACCGTAGGTACTCATATAACTCTCCTACTATATATTATGGCACACTGACTATATCTTGAGTTTTATCTGTGTCAAGTTTTATCTGTGTCAAGTATTTGTAAAAATACTATGATTATCCTTTTAATGACACATATATGTGCAGGAAAAACAATTCAATAAAAGCAGGATAAAAGCTAGAATTATGCAAAACTGATGAAGATCCCCCCCATGAAAAAATGTTATTTCATTTTGGGTAATTTTGAACCCCTTCAAAGTTCCCTTTATGAAATGTGATTAAAAGACCTTTTAAAATCAAAAACACACAACAATTCAAAGTTCAAACTATGAATTTTGAAGTCACCTTTTGCCCAGAACAGGTCCATTTTTGCTTGGAAATGAGTTCTCTTCCACTGGAACATTTTTTGAGTTAAAAAATCATGACACATTGAATTTTTGGCAA